CGGGGGTTCGCATGGTGGGACCCAGTGTGGGGTGAGACTGGGATTCGCCTGGCTGCAGCGCCCGGATCAGTGCAGGGGAGGTGGGCGGGGGTTGGCACCACCACTGGCTCGGACCCAGGTGTAATGCAGCCTAAGGATGATGCTGAGATCGGTTTGATGGAGCAGCTCGAGCTCCATTGTGTGTGGTACTTAATTGGGAAGTGGGAAGCGGTAGTGACCCAGTATGACCTAATGTCTGGAGTTGAGGGGCTGTAAGACTCGCATTTGGAAAAACATTAACTCGATGCAGTTTGGATAACAAGCACACCTCTTAGCTACCATAGTGATTGGTGTTTTAGAAATACCTAATTAGATAGATTCAGAATGCAAAATCATATGGGAGATGCCATGAATTTGCTGTTGTAGCTGAGGTCTTAGTCTGGGAAACTGCTGTAATATAGTTGTTGGAAAAGATTGAGAACTGCTGTAGCAGATGAAAGCAAACAGAGATCCTTTAGTTACCGTATCACTTCTGCACATGGTATCACTTTTGAACTATGAAGTTGAGCAACTTATGTGTAGGACTGCTTTTGTTTGCTGTACATTTTTTATATTTTAATAATTTAAAATAAGTACAAAATACTGTTTAAAATTAAACACATTGGTATGCGGTCAGGCTAATCTATTAACCTAGTTCTTAACCAACAACATTTACAAAAAGTAGGAAGTACCTGTAATCCACCATATTTGTAAGGTTAGTAGCAATACCATCCTTAGGCTTGACTTCAGTGGGACTGCACATGAATAAAACTAAGCACATGTTTATATTGAATTCAGTGGAGCACTGCTGAATTGCAGGATCAGGGTTTCGTCCTCTGTATCTAATAAATCCTATTTATACATCAACATAATTCTGACAAAAGTGTCCATGTAAATGCTATATCTATATAATATCTACATCACCTACTGAAAGCTACTCTCTCTTCTGCATTTTATAGTATTTGTGGAACTTGTATAAGGCCTCTAGAAACTTTACATTTACATAGCTGCATGTTATGTTAGTTCAGTTAAGATAGCTAGTGTGGACCTGATATATTTATAAAGTAATGGTTAAACATATATGATGCATTTCAAAGACAAAAGCAAAAGCTAAATATTCTAGCATATGCATTTCACTATGTGACCCTGAGAACCGTCAGTGCAACTCCTAATAGGTCTGAGAAACTCACTATCCCTAGCACCTCGCTTTCATGGTACTTATCTATAAATGATGTAATGTTGATCTTAAAGGAAGCCAGGATCATGCTGATCATTAATATTGTTGTGAAATATATGTACAGCTACTATGTAAAAAGTTATACGTATATGATGAAAATATGTTCCTAAAGTCTGAATCAAGGCAGGGTTGACAGATTTCTGCCAGACAACGGATGTATATTCACCTGTCTGCCTTGGTTCACATGTAAATTAAGGATTGTGAGCCAACAGAATGGGAACCACATTTGCGTACAAAGTCAGTATGAGGATGCAAAGTCAACATGAAGTCAGCACACCAGAGAATAAACCTCGGGGGTGGAGGGCGCTGATCCAGACTTTGGGAACCATCAATGAGTTTGGGGAGATATAAGGAGAAACAAAACGATACTAGTTTCTTTCAGGAAGGAAGCAAAAGGACCGCATTTTTGCATTCACGAAAGAGAGATCCACCCATGTTGGTTGGAGATGCTGGGAGATTGTTTTAGGTGCGATAGACTACTTTAGACAATGTTTTAGCTTGTTAAGTTCAGTTTAGGCTTTAAGAGGCATGTTATAATTTTGTTTTATATGTAACCTTTCTGTTTGTATTATTATCCTTACTTGCTATCCCTTAAATCTTAGGCTTTGATAATAAGCTTATGATTGTTTTCACTATAAATATCTGTCAGTGCTGTGATGTTATATAGGAATTGATCCTAAACTGAATCAAACAAGCTAGTGTGTGCACTGCGCCCCAGGAGGATAGCAAACCTAGTATTTCTGTGAGTAACTAGTGACAGGGGTTGGATATCACAGAGGAACGCTTCAAAGGAGCTTGGAGACTAAGGTGCACGTACAGTTAGCCTGCAAAGCTGGCAATGCCCTGAGAAGATTCTTTGGATAGCTTACAGGCAGGTGTTGTAGGGAGCTGTTAAGCACCATGAAGTCTCACTCTCACTGGAGGCAGGTAGGTAACAACATGACTCCCAATCCTGGGCACCTTGAGAAAATGTCACAAGGTCACACCTGCATTTGCAGGTGTATAGGGAACATTTTACATGTGATTTTTTTTTTAAAAGAAAATGAATTATTAAATCCCTATGGCTATTAGTTTCTAGAAATTGGAATCAACCAACCATATAAGGAAGTCTTATTAGGCCATGGAGACTCTAAATGATCTAACATTTAGTAGTTCACTGTTTTTTTCATGGCTTTAATAGATAACAGTTTATATGCTACTTGTTACTGGTTATAGAAAAGTACAATCAGTTTTACAGGGCTTCTTTCTTACAGTAATTTCAATTTGTCAATTTGCTGATCAGAGGGAATGTCCTCTCATGGATCACTAACTGGTTAAAATGTAGGAAACAGAGAGTAGGAGTAAATGGTCAATTTTCACAATGGAAAGGTGTAAATAACAGTGTCTGGCCAGACCTGTATTGGGACCTATGCTGTTCAACATATTTATCAATGATCTGGAAAAGAGGGTGAACAGTGACGTGGCAAAATTTGTGGATGATACAAAATTACTTAAGATAGTTACATTCAAAACTGACTGCAAAAAGTTAAAATTTTGTGGATTCTTTTTGTGAAGTCATACAAACTCTTAATTTTTTTTAATTACTGAAAACATTTTTATGTAGATGATCAGAAAGTAAACAGAAATGGCCCCTTAACTTACTTGTTCATGCTGTGTAAAATGCAGTAAATAAATAATTTTAAAAGTTTTTTTCCCATCCTTTAATGTTTATCAGTTTGAAGTTTGTTTATGAAGAGCAGCAGAATATTGATTACTTGCAGTTGTACTACAGCATTGTTTTTCTTTATAAACAAATCTTGATTTCTCCCAGTCTATCATCTCTAACTTTTTCCTTCAGGAAGTTCAATGAAAAGATGTGGTTAACTTGTAGTTTTGATTTTTCTCCAAAATAATATATCAACACTCAAGTTTTAAAAATAATTTAATTTTATGATAAGAATATAAAGTATTTAGACTATGATGGTACCCCAGAAGCCACCCAATAGTTAGGTCATTTTACAGGATTTCCACATGCAGCTATTGGGTTTATTACTCTTTGCCAATTAGTCATTGAATCTGCTGATTTTTTCACGATTTCAGTAACACTGCTTAATGTTTTAGTATGAGTGGTGGCAACTGCTCTATTTAAGGTTACATTGTATTTCTATTCTAGCACAAATTTCATAACTTTGAGAATTTCAGCTTTCAGACTGAAATTTTGGGTACATGATCTCTGAAGGTAAATTTTTAGGAACATCTG